ACTCAATTATAGATTTTCCTTCATTCCAAGAACTTTACGAGATTGGAATCGAATCCCTAATGAAATTGCATCAATAGAAGGCAAAGAAAGGTTCAAGATTGCTATATCCGACCACCTAAGGAATACGGTACAGAACGCTAAGCTGCAGGGCCACCACCCCTTCTCGCTTTGCTCTTTTTAGGGGCGTTGAGGAGTACTCATCCAGATCCAGTGGGTGTGTGGGGGGGGTGTTTAGCTCTTATCTGTTGTATAGTATTGTTTGAAACCGATTATATTTCCTGTTAAGGTTACATACGGATATTGTTGCTTGGAATTTCATCTCGTCTTCTGTACCTTGATTGGTATTTAGAAGGTACATTCATCTACATTGTATTCATTGTTCTCGATTTCATTGACGGATATTACGCACGCAAGCTGAACCAATGTAAGTAAATGTGAAAAACATACCGAAACAAAACAAAACAAACAAACAAAAAAACATGTTTCTAATTCCATCTATCATTATGCCGTCGTTTTTGCTTGGGACGTCATTGATGTTAAGAAGTAATATGGAACGCCATTGTTACAAAAATCGAATTATTTTTAATAGATTTTACTGATTAAGACAAAATTTAGGGACTGGAACTCAGTTTGTTTCACAAGTTAAAAGGCTTGAATAACTCACAGAACATCCTTTAGAAAATGCAAACATGCTGCTAAGCATTAAATCAATGTGTTCTAGGCCCGGCGAATATGTGTATGTGCGTACGTGGATGCGCGCTAGTGTGGATGGTGCCTATACTCGAGGTATATGCCTAACATATATATTAGACTCATTCTCTCCTTTTTATTTAATTTTATTCAATACACTTCTCATGTATACATAAATACAAAACTGAAGGAGACGAACCAATAGGTGACGAACACCTACGAGGGCTAGCTCCTTGCATTAAAAATACAAAAATAGAAATATGAATATGAAAAATGACAGTACAAACACCGAAACAATAAAATTTGTATTAAAAAAAATGAAAAACGGCAGGAAGTACGGTATGCTAAAGGAAAAACAACCGATGAGAGAATTTTCCATCCAGCAGCGTGTGTATCTGCAGAATGCAAGGGTTTTATTCAGTGCTCTCTATACATTATACTACAACAACAGTGATATATTAAGAATTATATAGCCATAATAAATATGTTACACCCATATGCATCCCACTATGAATATAACTTAAGTGGACGAGGTCCGTTAACATCTTAATGCAAGTTGGCCTAATGGAACAGTATTTATATTCTTTTTTTTTAAGTCGTCATGTGTTATTCCATCTAAGATGGATCTGTTAATTATGTTTTTTTGTGCTCTTGTTAGGTACCGTATTTGGTGCATTCTTTGATACAATGATAGATGTTTTGGGGGATACGATGATGTTAATGCATATCGCAAGGCGAAATCCGAGTTACTTTGATTTGATACAGTTCCAAATTTTCATTCATCTAAGTTGTGGTTTTTTGTCTACTAGGTAAGCATTTGATTAATGGCTATTAATATTTGCTTACTCAATGCCAGTGGCGTAACGAGAAGTTCTGTGGCCTGCTGTGAAAACGTGTTGGAGGCCCAAAAAAAAGTTCAGTAAAGTATTCACTAACCTAAGAACATTATGAACATTGAAGCTGAAAAGACTGCATTATATTGCGTGACTATAATCATAGTACAGTACTAACTTTTATTTTCACACCCTTCGGGCCCCTTGACATTACTGCTCAATGCATGGATTTCCTACGCATTTAGACGATGAACTCAGACGCCACCGAAAATCATAGCAGACTGATTATTATTATCATTATCATCATCTTCATCTTCATCGTCATTATCATCATCATTTTCATTATTACAACTATTATTATTTCTATTGTAATTGTTATTATTATTATTATCATTATCATAATTATTACTAATAAAGTTTAGAAACACAGACATACAGACATATCTTGCAGAAATAACGGTTCCAAATTAAAACCGACTTCAATCCTGCGCAACTTCACGAAAAAACGATAACAAATACGAATACGTCATTATCATTGTTGACATTCGTGCCTAAAACATTGACAATGACAATGAATATGATCCATGACTCATGGAAAAAGACATGAATCAACTACGTTTTGACAGATATGCTACTGTACGGTAAGGGTTGTATACGAATTTGATGACGTATCCGTATTTGTTATCGTTTTCGTCTTGTGAAAACTCCCTAGTATTACTATGTTACCAGTATAACTGTATAACCAAGGAGCTGTAACACAATTAAAGTAGGTTAGTTGCATTTGGATGTCGTCATTTTCATAGATATACATAGAATGCCGTATTATTCTTTTAGTGCACATTGTCTGTGTGGCTCTGTGGATGCGAAATCTTCTACGTGGACTTTCTTGAGGTTTTTTTACGATCAGGTATTGTCAGTTGTTCAAAATATCTCTCACCCCACTGTGTGTTATTATAATAGTCCTATGTTTATACTCT